GAGTCGGATGAGGAGTTGACAGAGACGGAGACAGAAGTGTGCTGTGACAACGATTACGGTTTCAAATCAGAGTGGTGGAAGAAATGGGATAAAATGTTAAAGATGAGGATGAGATTGAATGGGTGGTACATATACCAGGATTTAAGAGGGTGGGTCGATAGTCTTTCTTTTTTAAAGTTTAAAAACTGGTAGAAGATAAACATTAGAAGAAGAGGAAATAAATTAAATTTTCAGTCAAAATAATACACATCAGATGCCTGCGTGTCCGCTATATAGGATTTTTCAATTAACCTTCAACTGAGTCAGTAAGGTAACGGTCAAATTTAACTTTTCTATTAGTCTGAGATATAGACACACTGTTTTAATTAGTTTGAGATATTAGATGCACCAAAAATTACTTTAGAATACTGGACGTATCTAAAAAAATAGTTAGGGATGTTAGACGCATCTTAACCTATGGATAAATGAGCAGTAAATATAAGCGACTTTGACTTGATCGAAGGGGGATCGAACTCTTCCCAAAAAAAAAACATCCATGTCAAACTGTCTTCTTCTCTTTCTTCAGACTGGTAAATATGCTTTGCATATAGCCCCATAGATCAATTGCTCTAACCGCCGCGTGCAAAGCTCCGCTCACCGGATAAATGGTTCCGGTGGCCGGTGGGTCAATAAGTTTTTAGCTTTCTTAAAATCATGGATTCCACCCAGGAGGTCCCGGAATCTGAAGGGCACAAGAAGGAGAATTTCTCTATTGTTGCACTGCGGTGGATTGTCGGTCTTCTACTGTCCATCTTATTCTTCTTATCTCTTCCCTTTTTGGTTGGTTTTACAGTTGTGCTGAGCACGAATTTATCAATTTCGAACCCTATTTCCCTGCCTTCTCAGTGTAAGATTGTATCTAGCGGTGAGTTTTTTCTTCCTTCGTTGAAATCTCCAGTAATTTCTAGTCTAGCTTCAATTGTTTTGGAAGTGTATTTTATTATTCTTTTTCTGATAATTAGCGTGAAAATACAGCGAATGTACTGTTCTGCGTGGCCTCGCTCGAGAATTAGAATCTTCTATTGCTGAACCCAGCTCGGAAAAGTAACTTGGGAAGAGCCAAAAACTCAAACCTATGGGCTTGTTCGTTGTGTTTTTTTTTTTTTTTTGGGGCGCTCTTTATCGTGCGGTCTAGCCTTACACGCTACTGGATGTTATTTTCCGTATCTTGACATAGTAATTCCTAATTTTGAATATTTCTACATATTGTATTTCTGCTTAGTGACGGATTGTAGTGCACCCATCTAGACAATTCTAGCTATTCATGCTGCGCTGAATGCTAATCTATATTGGACCAATGAATTGGCCAGAGAAGAACTTATATTGGACCAGTGAAATACCTTTGGGGCAGCCAAATCAATATACCTGGTTCTGTCTTCGAAGAGAACTCAGAAAGATGCTTGTAGTTAGCTGAAAGACTTCCACGAGTTTGTAGTAAATGAGATGCTGGTATCTTCCTTTAAAGGTTTTAAATGCGGAGAATTTGACCTCTCAACCCTCTATGGTCATGCCTCAAGATTTCTATATGGTTAAAATTATTGTTTTAAATATTTTAAGGCAATTGAATAATGGAGAGCTGGAGATGTCCATAGACAAGCCCAGTGAAAAAAAAAGGGATCTCTGTGGAATCTAAACAAAAGTCCTACCAGAGAAGCACTGCAAAACCTACTCCATGCAATATAGCTAGATCTTAGATAAGGTTTGAATGGGGTAAATTAAAACGTTAAAGGTTATAATATTTGCATTTGTTTGGAATTTTTCTTACAATGGCCGTGTGTTTCAAAAGAAACTTAACTCAGAAAAAATTGGTAGGCGTCAGATTTATATTTTTTTATTGGTGTGAAAAGTTTTTTATAGTTGAGTCAAAGTTTGGAGGTGTCCTAACTGCAAGGTTGGAGATATGGATCATGAAAACATTTTCACGCGGTGAACATGTTTAGATTATAAGGCTTGTCAAATCCCAACTTTTTTAGAGTGAGGAGTTGTGAAACAAGAATGTTTGTATGAAGCTTCATGCCCTTTACATCTTTTAAAATTGTTTATTTCTTGAATAATTGGAAGATTGATTTAAGTTAGATTTTTTTTCATCCTGACTTTTATTTGATTGAAAGTCAAATGGACTATGATTTGTTCTTTGTAGAATTTATTTTTTCTAGTGCTAAATTGTATTCTTTTACAGGTGTTGACATAAGGTCATCCAAGAGTTGTAATTTTGGTTTACCGAATTATAAAGCAAAGCATATATCCCATCCCTTTCAAAGAAGCAAATTTCGCTCCTATTATGACTATTATTGGGCTTCCATATTCAAGGTATTTTAGCATATCGGTTTAATTACTCCTAGTATTGGCAAATTTTAATCTTTCTTCTTTTTGGTGCCCCCATACTTGTCCCTTCTTCATCAGAGCCATGCACATTTTTCTTTTAATAGTTCAAATTACATTTTTTTCCCTCCATACAGATGTTTGTGTACATGGCAATCCATGTTTTCTTTAGCTCGTTATAATATATTTTCAACTCCTTCTCAGGTAGAATATAAAGATGTCCTTTCAGGTCAGACAATGTATGCATTTGCAGAGGCTCCAAATGAAGCCCTTCCTCTTTATTGCAGGCCCAATTTTGGTGCTGCATGGTTGACCCAATATAAATTCAAGGTTGGGGTCACAACTTATGATCTCAGTCAATATGTATTTGTAGACATGGCTTCATTGAATACGTCTAAAATTCTTTATGATGTCATGTATAACGATTATTACTTGTTTAGGCCTTCAGCGCTGGTATTTTTAAGAAATTTTCTCTTCATCCTTGGTTAGATCAATGAGACTTATAACTGCTGGTACACATCTGGCGTCCCCAAAGTGCGATTAGATCAACATGATATTTTCGGTTGCCATGCGGATGAGAAATCGACTATGGACACAATTAGACAATATTTCACTCTGTGAGTACTTATTATCCCTCGACATACTAATTATTAATTGCATTACCTGTTCTCTGGATATCACAGGAGACTAAACATTCTTAACATTGTATCATTCCGTACAAATAAGCGCTGGATTAAAGTTTGTATTTTAATTCAAAGACATCTGTCGATTGTTCAAATAAAAAGCTGAATCAGATTCGTAGGACCAGTGATCTTTTTAGAGAAGAAAATGCATCTAGATTGTTCTGTGCAGCAGGGGTTGTTTGTTATCTCTCAACTTTTCCTTTATCACTCTGTGCTATTGTACTTCTTAACATTTTAATGAAATGGCCTCTAAATATGTGGCTCAACACATGTTTTGGTGATGGAAAATGAAAAATAGTTAGAACTTCCTAATGTGGATGAAAGTTTCTGATAAAGCATTAGGACAACAACAGTTTTTTCCCTTTTCCCAATTTATAGGGCTGAGGGGGTGGGGTTTGGATTTTGAAATGGATAAGCCATTGGTGGCTTGGTGCTCAAAATGAAGCTTTGTTCGGCCTACTTCAAATAATGATTTGTTTACCCATGGTTGGTACTTCCTATTAGTTGCAGTTATCTGTGCCTCTTTTCATGTTTACCCCGGATATATTTCTTTCTCATAAATTTTATGATGGTTGTAATTGGGTAGCTTGTACCCAGAGGGATGATATTTCTCATACTCTTCGTTTGACAAGTTCTTACATGGTACTGATTGAAAGAAAAGAAGAGGTGTTTTGGGCTCTATCTCATTCATTAGCCTTAACTTTATTGGAAATGTTGTTTGATTGACCTCTGTGAATATGCTTGAATACAGCATATCATATAATTTTTTTTCCTGATTATTGTGTGTGGATCATCAGGACCATAGAGATGGTGAATTCCTGGAGTACCGGCAAGGCAAGGGTCAAGATTTTGAAGTGGGAAATGATAGCTGGGGTTGTAACTGGGTTTTCAACTTCTTTGATCTCCATAGCCTTGCTTAGGTTCATACAGCGGCTGTTTTCTTCACCGCATTGAGCTTCTGCCACATGGTATCTCCTCCACCTGTCAATGGTGTTCTCATCAAATGTTTTGTGCTTTGGTCGGCTACAAAATCGGAAGAGTCTCGGTCTGATGGATATATTCAGTTTTCAGGATTTCATAGTTGTGGTACTTGTTTTATTGAAGTGCCATGTCCTTTCATTTAATTACCTTGTATCATTATAGCTGCAGCTGATAGCATTATTGTCGTTTGATAAATTAATGGTGGCTCCATAGACTTATTTGTAATCGATCTGTGTAGAAAGAAGTTTGTATAGTTCAGATGACAGTCTCAGAATTATAAAATTGAATCAAGTCATGGTTCAGTACTAGCTATTAATGAAATATAATGACTGCATTTCAAATTCTATCTGAACTGTAATTTTTGCTTGTGTAATGGCTTCCATAACGATCTTAAATCAGTTTACATTCAATCACCTTGCCTTCTTTTTGGCAAGAGTAATCAACCATTGTGGTGATTATCCAATTCCACTACTTCAAGTGGCTTTTAGCACTTCGCAATGAAAATTTAAATGACAAAATTTTGTTTATTACCTTTCTCATCAATTTTTTCAAAAGAAAAACACAATACTTTGGCATTCAAACATATGTTTTTTTAAAAAATTTTAACCTATTTCTTAATAAATACTAGCTCTAGTTCTTAATACAAGATTTTGTTGGATTTTTGCTTTAGTCCTAAATATAAGACTTTAATCCACTTTGTTTTTCATATTTATGTATTTTTTTTCTAAGATAATCCTTCTAATAATAATAGTTTTAGCTAATGTACTTGATTAGTAAGGATATTTTAGGAAAGATAACACATATTTATTACAAATAACTAACTTAACTTCTTTTCTTAATCTCCTCAAATTAGTCAACTAGTTTTTATAAATAAGACCAGAGGTAGCAGTTTAAAGAAACACCTGAAGAATCCTCTTTTTGCCTTAAACTTAAGAGAAACAGGTGTCGAACATGTGTTCAACAATACTCATGGCAAATTCAAAGTTCACCGCTTGAATATCCTAGTTTTCGTCGAAGTGTCATGTCTTTCTGTCAGTGATAATTTTTCTTACATATATGAGGATTTCATGCTAAGATTTGTCAAAAAAATTTTGGAATCGTATTCTAGACCGAGCTTCCAAAATCACAAACATTGATAACTGTTAAGACTTAGCATTTCACTATTACATGGGCATGCCAGTGACATTCAGAGATAAACAAATGTTTTGCGGAGACTCCGGAGGTTCTCAGGTAATCAGGTCGCTAAAACTCTTGACTTCGTGGTGATTGTTTTTCCCCTTTATCACAGCCTGTCTGGGCTACCACATTGTTTCTGAGGAAGGTAAAAGATTAATGGGATTGAAACCAAATATTAAATCTTGCCGGTTTCTGATACAATCCTTTCAATTTCCTCTAAAAGGCGCTCCTTTTCATCTGCTAATTCTTCGTTTTGCTTTTGAAGTTCCTCTATCTGCTTTGTTTGCTCAGAATCCTTCCTGAAAATTCGAAGCACAGTTCTTTAACGTTAGTTCATGATTCTCTGTACTCATAATTGATAATTGATTGCCTCTATGTGATTCTGTAATACCAATGCTTTCTTAGTCATTTAATTGTAATTGACTTATATTACCTGTTCATGAAGGACAGATTAAGTTTAAGGGATCTAACTTCCTTCTCAAGGTTTTCACATCGCTTCAAGACAGCTTGCATATCTGATGGAACTGGTGGCGTCGAATTCCTTTCCTTCGCCTCAGCCATTCTGCATGACAAGGTTATTGGCAAAAGAGCTGAGAAATGCACAGTGATCCTCTTGAAGTAAAGTTTTGATCTTTAATTCTGACATGATTCAACAGTATTATGTGAGAAGAGAGACTGTCTGTATATATAATTTTACATACTTCCTTGATCGCTCCACTCGCCGCTTTTTTGTGGCATCCCCCTTGTCCTCTGCACAATTTATTTGAACATTTACTTTAGTTTATGTTATGCATCTACAAGCGAATATGACATTTGGAGTATCTAAACCTAATAAGCCTCATGAAAAACTCTTTAATTACAAGATGATGGGATTTTTTGGCTTTTGGTGGGTGGTCCGTCTAGGTTAAGAAACTTTTGATCTTACTGTTATATCTCTAACCACACAAGCAGCACCATGAAAGAGAATCCAAGGTTTTTGAAAGTAAAATCCAAAGTATCAGAATAGTTTAATTAAAGTAATGAGGTTAATCCAAGTCATGGTGTATGCTTAGAAAATGGGAACTGTATTAGGACATTGATCGTTACCTGATACAGCTGATGTTACAGATCCATATCTTTCTAGACTTCTCCTCTGCACAATTAAGATTAGCAACATTATCATAGGAAAAAACTGTTAAAAGCATAAATTTCCGTGATCACTCCTTATTATGGAGCTTAAGTTCCATTGGTCTTAGTTTAGGTTATACCTTCCGATCATCTTTCAGATTATCCATTATCTGTTCTCTGAAACCTGCAAGTTCACAGAAACACAATTGTAGTATAATATTAGATGGACAATGTTTGCAAATGAAAAAAAGAAGGGACATATCTGCTCTTTTTCTGACCTAAATGATAGTTATTATTCAGAAAGAGCGTGGGTTTTCAATAAAATGTTATCGGGTCTGAGTGATTCAATTTCTCTAGGGCATTGAATGCTGAGAAGAAAACATGAAAGTTATTGAGAATGACACAAAAAGTGGCTCCAATGTGAGAAAGCAAAACTATTGTCCCATTTTAATGATGCTAAAGTAAATGAAAAATATTGGGAAATTTCATGCAATTTTGTCATCATATTGTATTTATACCTTTGACTCTATTTTCTGAATTTTTACTCACTCCCACTTGTTTCCATGTGTTTTCACATGGTGTTTGACTTGAGATGCTTGGACCTTCAATTGCATCTAAACCAGATGAAACTACTGGTGCAGCAGCAGAAGATTCACTTTGAGATGGTTCTCGCGAAGCTGTTCCAACACATATTGCGTTTGTCTGATTTGCAAAACTATCCATGTCAAGGTTCATAGATCCTTCAAGCGTTTGTGGAACTCCACGGTCCTTAACTTCACCATTAGATGCTCCTCGGAAATTTATTTGCATCTGATAAATCCAGTTTTCTTGTCCTTCCATAAAAACAGTTTTGGCAAAATCACTTTGAGCACCAAAGATGCCATTGGAGCTATCCTCTGCAGCTTCTTTCTCTATATGATTGCTGAGTCTCTTACGTTCCAATGTACCTTTTAGCATGCTCACACAAGTTGAAACTTTATCTGCATCACCCATTCGTGGTGTATTGAAGGTAGATGAAGATGAGTTTGATGGAGACATGAAGGTAGCCTTCTGGTTTGGAAGCTCGCAAGGAGAAAGGTAACCAAAGCCATTTACATTTGAACCTTCTTGTTTCAATGTTTCAGCAACGCCATCACGAGGGACCAGGGGTATGGGCTCCATACCTTGTGTTGCTTGTGCATTTTGCATTTCAACATACCTTCGCCTACCGCCGGGGGGGGGGGGGGGAAGAAATCATATCAATAAAGATACAGAACTTTTTTTCTTCTTGAACAATAAAATATAATTCCCAATCGTGAGACACAGAGACAGTAACAACAAGTATATCTCATAATATCATGCATGAATTCAGTATGAACGCGAAAAACACAGAAGAAAACAAATTTAGCCTTTAACAGCAAGATGATGAGACTTTCCTTGGCATAATTTGAAAATGCATTTGTGCAAATGATTTTGATGAACAGATGCAAGATGATGAGGATACCTCAATTCCGAGGACCGGCTTCTTGTCATTCGCTGATCACTAAGGAACCAAGCCTGAATTCACAATAGCAGATCAAATAAACATGAAGATTCTAAGTCTTCACAAATGGATGTAGTATTGATATAAACAAAACAAACCTTTGCCAGAAACAAGTTACCAGCTTGCAGCTCTCTATCAGCAGCATCTCTGATGAAAATTGACAGCAGACCCAATTACAAACTACTTTCTAGACCAAAGCAAGCTACAAGAAAGATAATTAAGAAATCGGAATGCAATACTGAGAAAGAAAATATTGCATATAATTACCTGATTGGAGTTTCACTACAATCAAAAGAAGCATCATCGACCATAAGGTTTTCTTGTGTATATACTTTTTCATTGCTTTTTTCCTCTGAAATCACACCAACATGTTGTGGATTAGACAAATTGGCTAGGTCAGTGGATATCCTGCAGTTACAAGAGAATCATGATCTATCAGGATTAGACAGAAACCAGGAAGGAAGCTTCAGGAAATGCGAAATCTTCACGAGGAAAATTGACAAACAAATCAAGTATAAATGTGATGAAAGGTAAAGTGTCAGACTATACCATGAGAACAAAAATAAAATGGTCAAATCTCTTATGAAACGCACCCAATTGACATGTTTCTAACGTGTGTTTCAGTGACAGACTCACCTCTGTGATAATCGACTATTATGTCCGATGCTTGTTGAATTGTAAGCCTGATTGAAGAAACAAAGATACATCAAGTGAGTAACTGGATTTGTTCGGGGTAGAAACTTCTTGTGATCAGATCCTTGTCTTGAAAACTAGTGAGAAGATATTCTGAACAAAAATTCCAAGAACTAAATGCTGAAAATCAACTAGCATGCGCAGTTTAAAACACATGAACTTCAAGGATATCTGGGCTACATAGAAAAATTTTATCTTGAAAACTAGAGGGTTCTGAATAAAAATCCAAACGCTACTGTTTTAGTCCAAGAATCAAATGCTAGAAGGTCAACTAGCATGTGGGGTTGAATATGTAGAAATCAGAGAAAGAAAACTCAGGAATTCTGAGAACTTGAAAGCAAAAGCTGCGATATGATCTAGAATAATAGGCTTGCCTCTCCATTTGTTAGCCAGCGTTTGAAGAGCTCCTCACTGTCCGTGCGAAAACTTTGAGAAACGGCCTTGAAACCCAACATCTCCATGGTTGGTGCTGGCATTCCAAGAGGACTTTCCATCACTGTCTTCAGAAACAACTCTTCACTTGTGTTCTTATATAGCCCAGAAAACCCCCTTCCTTCCATCTCCTTCTTCCTCTGATTCCGCCTTCCAACTGCTTCAATCTTCTTGAGACCGTCCTAAACTCAAGTTTTTATTAGTACTTTCAGGTTACAGGATAGAATAGTAAGCTGAAACCACTGTCATTAACCATACCAAACCCTTTTCCAAAACGAAGGTTTAGACATAAAAGATCACACCTTTATGGTTATATCATCAGCGAAATTCAACCCCACAATGCCATAAGCCTGCACACCTTTGAACTCTGTCAACCTGGCATATGCACCTTTATAATTCTTTCCCAAAAAAGGTACGTAACTTGAGGTTAATCAACTTACTATCCAACTAACCCCGGAGATGAACTATTTTATCCTTGAGAATTTTATAAACTGACTGTGAAACTTCACAAAGTTTTGAGGATGACTATGGTTAGTGATACCCTTGCATGTAGATATTTTAGAAACCTAGGGACAGAATGGTGGCATCTAGGGGTGAAACTGAAAGGTTTTGCAGAAGATTCTGTGTAGCTTTCTTTTGTCTCTTGTTTATATTGAAAATGAAACTCGTGCAGCGGTAATTCGAAGTGTTCAACAGTTAGGAACCGCGTGGTCTGTGAAATTGAGGAGAAAAGATTTTAGCCTTTCGACGAAGTAAAAGAATCCCATTTTTATGATTATCATTAATAAATGGGAACTCGTTCTCCTTAATTGGAAGATTAAGATTTGATTAAGAAATAATGAATAGGATGAAACAGAATGAAAGGGACGTTAAGCAACAATTAAAATTAATGGAGATTTTTGTTTTACAATATTGGTAGCCGTTTAGATGGCGCTTTCATTGTTGCCTAAGCATGGAGGCCACGACGGTCGTTTAGCTAATTAGCTCACGAACGCAGATTCTTCTGCTCTCATCGCTGAACGCTGCCCTTCAATATAAATATATTATTTGGGAATCGTTTTGTTTTTTAGTCTTAATGTAGACAAGTGCATATTTTTAATAGGATATTTCGATAAAATATTAACATGGCCTTTAATGACATTTAATTATGTGCTAATAATAAATTGTTTTGACGTGATTATAAGATACCAAATACTACCTCAGGTTTTAATTATAAGAGGTAGTTGACTAATTTGAGGAGATTAAGGAAATAAGTTTAAATTACTTAAATGTAATAAATATGTATTCTCTTTTTAAAAATATCTTTGCTAATCAAGTATATTGGTTAGAACTAATATTATTAGAAGATTATCTTAAAAAAATGTATAAATATGAGAGGCAAAGTGGATTGAGATCTTATATCTATGATCAAAATAAAAATTAAACGAGATTTTATATTAAGGATTGAAGATAGTATGTTATATTTGAGTATATCAAAGATAACATTTTCAAAGACATATTTTGCAGTTATATAAAGTTGAACAAAAAAATTTTATATTTAAAGAGTGATAACTCCTTTTCAATGCTAATTGATAATAAAATGTAGTACATCCGGTTCTTAATGTAAGACATTATTTAACTTTTATTTTGGTCCTAAATATAAGATCCTAATCCACTTTGTCTTTCAAATTTATTCATTTTTTTCAAGATACTCCTTCTAATAATAGTAGTTCCAACCCATAAACTTGATTAACAAAGAAATTTTTGTATTACAAATAACTAACTTAACTTGTTTTTTTAATTTACTTTAATTAGTCAAATAGCTTTTATATTTAGGACAAGAGGTAGAATTATTTACAGGCTAATAGTAAATACAACATATTTGTACAAATATGTTTTCAAAGTTTTTGTTGTCGCAAATTATTTTTCTTGAGTTCAAAGTTGTTTTGAAAGTATCAAAACGAATAATAATACTTTTTACTATTAATAATGTTAATAGTAAATGTTAGTTTTTTTAATGGGACAGTTAACATTGTTACATTTTGAAATTTTTAGAGTAATATTGAACTAAAAAAAATTTCACGACAATATTGCTCTAGAGTGAAAACCACCCGAATAAATTCATTTCTTAACCTTGTTCATGTATACTTTGTTCCATGCATAGAAATGTGGACCTTAGTTATTATTAATTCGATTCAATCCATGAGCTGTTTAGCTAAAAAAAGAAAACAAAATCGATTCAATTTAAAAAAATGGCAATCGATTTTTTGTTTTGTTTTGGTAACCAATTGAAATTGTTTTAAATATGTAGAAAAAGGTTGCTTTCATAACCTTTTCTGACTAATCATAGAGTCACGCTGTTTCATAAACTAGTAGTTTAGTAAATTGTACTGTTGTTGCAAATGGTTGCAACTGAAAATGATATATGAATTAAAAGTTAAGGATATCATATGGAAAATTTTAACTAAAAAATCCCAAAAGTATTGTACACGCGGGTTATGACGTAAGTAATATTAAATTTTAGAGATACTATTTTTATTTTAATCAATATTCTTGCATTTGCACTCCTTGCTTGTACAATAATTTACCTACTCCTAATAATTAACATTAATTTTTTAATAATTTGATACTTATAATTGTTAATTATCATATGTCCTGTGCTTAAGCAAGTTGCTTAATTGTGCAAGGAGGAGTCTAACTTAAGTGTACACCACTTGCTTGAATCTCTACCCAAGTGGGTTTTTTTTAATTACACAATAATTTGAGTCTTGATTTGATTATATGCTTTCACACGTATTTGATATTATTTAATCCAAATTGAATCCTAAAAGCTCATTAGGGTTAAGTTGTGATTCAATAATTAAAGAGTTGTTATCAATTACTCCCTCCGTTACTTATTATAAGAGACATTTGATGTTTATGGCATGTTTCCATATATAAGAGACACTTAAAAGTTGTCTATATTTTTTTGTATTGATTTCCTATTTTACCCCTATTTATTTTGTGTCCAACTCATACTCTCTCTCCCTCCCACTTCTCTTTCTTTTAATAATTTAATTGTTCTCTCTCATACTCTCTCTCCTTATTAATAGGGGCATTGTTGGAAAAAACATTATATTTTTTACACATTAATTGTCTTCAACTAATTTTAACTGTTTTTTTTATCAACGTAATTTGGTTATTTGTCTCTCATAATAAGGAATGGAGGGAGTAATATCAACTATCTCCAACAACAAAACCCAACATAGTTGGTCGATGGTTGTGTCTCTTAAACATGATATCTATTTTTGGGAATGTCACTCGGTTTCTTCTAAAAAAAAGAAGGAATTGTATCTAATTAGACTAATTTTTACTTTTTTAATAATAAATCAATTTCTTGTAGTTACTATCTCTATATTTCTTTATATTTAAACAAGTACCCGTTTTGATCTTTTTTATAAGCCTGCATTAACTATTTTTATGAAATTAATGAAATCAAGCAAAGTTAGTTAAATTTATTATTTTTGTTGTTGTTGCAATTTTCCAAAATTGCCTTTAATTGGTATGATTCATTGTGGGAGAGGGGATGGGGGAAAAATAGAGATTTGAGCGTTTTAGTTTATGAGTAATGAATATTTCATTAACTTATATGAGGGGTTTTGTATTAAAACCTTATTGATATGGTCTTATAAATAGAAAGACAAAGTATCCTAAAATATTTTGAAGGATGGATTTAGCAAAAATTTACTTTAACCATGTTTGCAATTAAGCAAGTGTTCTAAATTACACAAACCAGAAGGCACCATTTTATTAATTTCTTAATTACAAATAGACATTTAGATATACTCTTAATACTTCTTATTAAATTTATCTCTAATGGAGTTCAACACTTATTTATGATAAACAAAGATGGGAACATAAGAGATGTAGTGGGGAAATTCATCATTAGGAGTTTTTCAAAAATTAATAAAATAAGCTAAATTAATTCACAATGACTCTGTGCCGCTTAACCACCAGAAAATCCCGCTATTTAGAATATTATGAATGAAAGAATAATAATGCAGGCATAAAAAGTCAACAAAGTTAATCAGGAAATGAGGTTTTTCAGTTTGATTCTGGAATCAATTTCTTGTTTGTATAATATGATGCATATGTAAATCTTTTAATATTTTCAGTCAAACTTTGAAACGGCATTAATTATTCTCTTGATTAATAGTCTCATTCATTCGGCAACCTCCATTTTTCTAATGATTCTAATTATATATGGTTTTCAAATCTAGGGTAAGTTCCGTTTAATACCTTTTTGTGATCTTGACAAGTATTGTTAAAAAAAAAAGAATTTATTTTCATATTAGAAAAAGTTTTTTTTTGTTTTATTATGAATAAAGGGTAAGCATTATTAAATTAACACGAAACACCAACAAAAGATTATTATATTTTAAATATAAACAAATTAAGTCATGGTTATTTTTTAAAACGCACATCTGATATCCAAAAGTTAATTTTTTTGGCAAAATTAAATCAAATAAGAGTTGAGTATAAGTTCTAAAATAACCAAAAAAATGTCAAATATAATTTGATTATTTTTGAAAAAAAATGATAATAATGGGGGAAAAGTGGAGACGCAATAACAATTAACAAATGAGGATTTGAATTGAGGTGCTGTAGGGTCGGCAGCATTGGAGCTTCAATGTTACTGTCTCCTATCTTATCGATTTTAGTTTGATTTTTAATTTGGTTCTCAACATAAAACTTCAATCCATTTTATCTTTTAAATTTATCTATTTTTTCAAAATAACTCTTGTAGTAGTTGTACATGTTAAAAATTTTATTAAACAATAGTTCTAACTAATACACATGATTAGCAAAAATAACATTTATTTATTATAAATAATTAACTTAATAAATTTTTTTAATCTACTTATATTAATCAACTAGTTTTTATATTAAAATTCGGAGATAATAATTTGGTCTTGGGTGAGGGACACACCCAAGTTGACTTGGTTTGTGTTTGTTGTGTTGAGTGGACAGCATAAACTCTAAAACAGTCTCACATGAAAAGCATTTTTATAAATTGGGAGAATTTCAATAACTCTTAACGAAAAATATAATTACTAAAATTTTTTAATAATAATTAAGTACTAAAAATTTCAATAACAATTAAGTAGCTTGTAATAAAAAATTTCATAATAAGAAATGACAATTTATCACTTGTTATTGGAATGTTTTTGTGGTTTTTTTTTTGGGACCTCAGTGATTTTTTCTTGTAAATTTGTTTGTTTACTGTATGTTTAGGAAATAAGAGGATTGTTATGAAGACAAGTTTAAAGAAAAAGCCTTATCCCAAAAGACTTAGGATCTATTTGGAATACTTTATAAGTAGTTTTTCAATCGTGATTTACAGAATACAATATAAATATATGGAAAAAAATTTTTATCTTAACTTACGTGAAACATACTCATAAGTGCTTATTTGATACTCCTCCGGTCCTAAATGTAAAACCCTTATACTCGTGAGTATAAAGGTCTTACATTTAGAACTGGAAGAGTATCAAACAAACACTTAACCTATTAAGAGGGAGAGCCTCTTGAACTTATAAAATTTTATAAGTCACATAAAACTTGTGAGACTTTTCGATGTGAGATAACT